TTAGGGTAGGCTAGGTTAGCTTAGCTAAGCTTAGGTTCTGGTCTATTCTCAGGTTAGGTTAGGTTAGGTTAGGTTAGGTTAGGTTAGGTCAGGTCAGGCTAGCTTAGCTTAGCTTAGCTTGGGTTCTGGTCTATTCTCAGTTAGGTTAGGTTAGGTTAGGTTAGGTTAGGTTAGGTTAGGTTAGGTTAGGTTAGGTTAGGTTAGGTTAGGTTAGGTTAGTTTAGGTTAGGTTAGGTTAGGTTAGGTTTGGCTAGTTTAGGATACGTACTGGACTATCCTGGCCTGCGTGTTTTATAAACGTACCTAAACTCGATAAGAAACGATTTTGGTTGCTTTATTATTGTTACCTTGGTCCCGTACATGTTTTATGGTTCTCGATAAGCAGAAATATTGTGCTTTCGCAACAACGCAGAAACGGCGCTTGGAAGTCGAGGCAGTGCGGTGCGGGGCGTGCGGCGCTCGGGAGCTCGCTATCGTATTTATTAAAATTCGAGGGTAGGAGCATGATTCTATCTGTTTTGAAATTATTTATGATATGTTCCGCCTTAAACACGACGAATAGTTTACCTTGGTCCCGTACATTTTGTAGGGTTCTTAGTAAGCAGAAATATTGTATTTACGCAACTGCAACGCAGAAACGGCGCTGGGGAGTCCAGGCGGTGCGGTGCGTGAGCCCGCCATCGAAGTTATTGAAATTCGAAGGTAGGAGCATGATTCTACCTGTTTTGAGATTATTTACGATATGTGCCGCCTTGAGCACGACGAATGGTGTGTAATGATTTTTTCTAATCTTAGGTAGGAAAGTACACCTACACCTGCATCGCTATAGAACGTAACGCAAGCAAATTGACATATGCAAGCATGGAGACATTACTCGAACTTTACGCTCACGAGAGCACGTGCTCCAAGTGACCTACTTTTGGGGGAGGAACAAAACGGCGGACAAAACCTGTTGACAGCCTCATGCTCCGAGACTATGCGACCGATCGACGTCAAACCTTGATCAATCAATGTCGCTTGATGGCTAACCAACTCAATTCAGAAGAGGATGACCTGGGATCAGGTCAAAAGTCACAAAAATGCAAATGAACTGAAAAATCAGCCTGCGAACAACCCCACGCTCCGAGCTTATGGGAAAGATCACCACAGAACCTTTACCAGTCGTTTGCCTTGGTCAACATCCTACCCTGGTCAGCACTGACCTTGGGTCAGGTCAAGCGTCACCAAAAACACCCCTTACGTCCAAAAGGCTGCTGACAACGCCGCTCGGCGAGGATATGGTACCGATGGTCTTAAAACCTGTGCTAATCGATATGCTTTAGTCCATGTCGTATTCTGTTCAGAACATGGTGACCTTCGTGCAGGTCAAACGCAACCAAAAATGACCAAAACCAGCCGAATTGGCAGAAAATAGCCCGATGTTCATGACCATTGCTACAGACTGGCACAAAACCATTACGAACTGACGCGTCATGTGCGATAATGTATCCTTTCCAAAACATGGTGACCTTCACCCAGGTCAAACGTCCCAAAAACTCCCAAGCCCAACAGTTAGCTAGCAGACAACCCCATGCTACGAGTTTATCGGCCTGATCGCCAAAATATCTGTATCAACCGATGTGCCATAGTTAATACCCATCTCCTTAACATGGCGACCTTCGGTGAGGTGAAATGTCATCAAAATCGCCGCATGTCACCCAAATTGGTTGCAGGCATTTCTATGCTGCAAGCCTGTGGCACCGACTGTCAACGACTATGCCAGTCGATGCTCCATGGTTGATAATCCATATTTTTCAGAACCTACTGACCTTGGATCAGGTCAACACTGTCAAGAAAACACCTGACACCACCAACAAGTTGTTTGCAGATAACCCCATGCCCTGAGTCTTTGGAACCGATCGTCACATAATCCTCACCAATTGGTGCGGATATATAACCGATAACCGGTTTTGTCCAGAACATGATGGCCTTGGTTCAGGTCAGAGGTCACCAGGAACACCCGCAACCGACGTAAATCACTTCGTAGACAACCCCTGGCTCCGAGCCTATGGGACTCATGGGTACAAAACCGTTACCAGTTGATGCGCCACGGTTAAAAACCTACCCTTTTCAAAACATGATTAACCGTGTGTCGGATTGAAGGTCAACAAAATAGCCTGAAGTCACCAACAACTGATTTGCAGATAACCCTATGCTCCCATCCTATTGGACCGATTGTCACAAAACCTTCAGATGTCGATGCGTCATGGTCGATAACCTGTCATTTCCAGAAAAGATGTAGCCTTGGCTCAGGTCGAAGGTTAACAAAATATCAAACAAATCTGAAAGTTTTTGTCATTATTGGTGACGTTTGACCCAACCCAAGATCATCATGTTCTTGAAAGGATAGGACATCGGCTTTGGCGCATCGATTGGCAAAGGTTTTGTGACGATCGGTTCCACAGGATCGGTGAATGGTTTTCCCTGAAAAGGGATAATTGTTGGTTTTGGGCGTTTTTTTGTGACATTTGACCGGACATCAGGTCGTCACTTCTGTTTAGGATGTGTTTTCGGCTATGGCACATAGAATGGGAAGTTTTGTGCCTATAAGTTCCAAAGCTTGTGCATGGGGTTCCTGCAAAGCGATTTTTTGTCGGTATCGGGTATTTTAGGTGATCTTGGGCCTGCTTTAAGGTCGCTATGTTCTTGCAAAGATATGTTGCCCATCTAGCGGCGTCAAATGGTGAAGGTTCTGTAACTGCTAGTGCCATGGCTTCGGAGCACGGGCTGTCTGCAGCCGAGTTTGGAGGTTTGGGGCGTTTTTGATCACGTTTGACGTAACCCAAGGCCGCCATACTCCGAAAAGATTAGGATATTGGTTAAGATTGCATCGACTGGCGTAAGTTTTGTGGTGCTTTGTCCCATAGCCTGGAGCATGGAGTGATCTGCGAACCAAACTTCTCTTTCCGGTGTTCGGAATTTTTGCGCCTTTAATCTGGTCCAAGGTCACCATCTTCTGGGAAGGTTAGGCTATCGACCTAGCGGCATCGAATGGTGGGAGTATCGTGACGATCGGGCACAAAGGCTCGGAGCGTGTGGTTGTCTGCAAATTAATATTTGGTGGTTTGGGGCATTTTTGGTGACCTTTGACCTGGCCCGTAGCCACCACGTTCTGGAAAGGATAGATTGTTAGCCATTGTGCATCGATTGGTAAAGACTTTTCCAATTAATTAAAGGCTCTGAGCACAGGGTTGTGTGCGAAGCGATTTTTACGGGCTCCGAGTTCTTTTGATGCCCTTTGCCGGACCCAATGTCCCTATGTTTGACCAATATTGTTAGTGACCTAAGGTCACTACTAAGGCTCGGGTGTCGATCGGTCCCCATAGGCTCGGAGTGTGGGCTGTCGACAGGTTTGGTTGACCGTTTAGTCCCTCCCTTTACTTTTCGTTTAAAGATAGTGGTGTTGGGCCGCATCTCAAGATGACCTTTAAAAGGGCTAGTGGGAGTTTAACCTTTAAAAGCTTGGTTTTCCTGTCCCTGCTCAGCTGTCCAATGCTAGTGACTGCATGGTGTGGCAGAAAAGACAATTGCATAGATTAAATTTTGATATTGATATGAAGTAGATAACATGGGCAGCTACGTCTGTATCAATATCGGATATTAATAGATGTCATTAATTTTATATGGGGATCGTGCCCCAGTGGCTACTACGAGAATACCTCCCTGTTCGCCCACGCGTACAGACTATCAGAAATGTCGATGTTGCAAGGCTGACTCATCTACTGGCGTGCAAGTCTCCAATAGCAGACGGGCTAGTGCTGTTAGGGCTCAAGGCCGTCCATTTACTCTCAAGCACTATGCCTTGCATTGATATGACGATCAGATAACTTTATTAACATCGTGCGCGCAATAATATTTCCAAAGAAGGTATGTACAACAGTATGAGGTTTTCAGCGTTTGGTCTCCATTGGCTGTTCAATCCTAGGTCTTAACATTTGAAGGGTAAGAATCCGGTGTTTGACAGATAGAGCTCAACATGCAGAATTAATTCTGCTTAAGACATGCATTTTAAGAAGCAGGAGCTGCATTTTTCCTGTTTAATAAAAAAGAACAGTTTTGAGATGTATGTTGCCTCCATAGTACGTTCAATCAGCACGTACTTATGCCGCAGAGGAACATCGTCTTTTCTCGACGCCTATTTATGTGCACCATAAGATAAAAGAGATGAAGTAATTAGGCATATATGACAAGAACAGATTGTAAGGCGCAAGGTTTGTACTTGTTATAATTTACCCGACCTGTTCATTTTATGTCGAATTTTGTAAGTGCTAGCCATCCTTTCTGGGTCTTGGTCTTTCGTTTGCGTCCAGAGGTGAAATTTCCTATTAAGTTGAAGGACCTTTAGCATCCCAACTTGGGTCTCCTCAACTTTGTGGAAAAGTAGGCGAAATCCATGAAGAAAGCACTACTTGGCGTATTCGTAGAATACGCCGCACCAATTTCCACTGCTAAGCCCCCCAAACTCATTTGCAAAACTACGCCCTTGTTTGCGTCTGCTTTCTGGCGCGTGTTTTTGCTTTTTGGGTGTGTATGCCTACCAATGGCTGGGTGTATATTGCAGGCAAGACCTGCCTTACCATGGATCGGTGGAGGGGACGCGTGGCGCTGGTAACCGGCGCTAGTGTCGGCATCGGTGCTGCCATCTGCCGAGAGCTGGTGAAACATGGAATGAAGGTCGTGGGGTGCGCCCGAAATGTCAAGCAAGTCGAGGTTTGTTTTTGTATGACACGATCGTTTGGATGTCTCATCTGTACATTGGAAAGTGATCTCTCCATAATTGCTTGAATGTGCGCAAATTGCACTTACGTGCAAAGTATCTCACTTTAAACGAGTCCGCTCAGTTGAAAAGCACGCGGTTCGGTCATGGGACTCCACGCTGCCTGAGCAGTGGAGCATATTTTGCAGCGAGAACCTAAGGATGCATCTCTTGACACCTTTTAGGACCCTGTAGTCGGAAGCCTTTATTGCTACGTCTGTTCCGGAAGGCCGTGATGGTTATCCCGCCGGACCCGTGAGTCCTCACCGAAAAGCCGCCGAGCATCGCCGTGGCTCTGAGCTCGCGTTCCGGTCATGTGGCCAAGACTCACTGTGATGGGGTCTCCGTGCAGGAGCTGGCTGCCGAGCTGAAGGACTGCACAGGTTCCCTGACGGCCCTCCACTGTGACCTGACCCAGTCGGACCAGATCGAAGCCATGTTCGGCACAATCCGGGAGCAGTTGGGCGGCGTTGATGTCTGCATCAACAACGCTGGCCTCAGCTTCGCCGGCTCCCTCATCAACGGCGATGTCGAGAAGTGGCGCACCATGCTGAACGTCAACGTGCTTGCGCTGGCGCACTGCTCCCAGCTGGCTATTCGCAGCATGAAGGAGCGTGACGCGGCCGAGGGCCAGATCATCAACATCAACAGTCTGTCCGGTCACCGGGTGGTGGTCAACCCTGATGTACACTTCTACGCGGGCACAAAGTTCGCCGTCACGGCACTGACCGAGGGGCTGCGCCAGGAGATGGCAGCTGAGCCGCCGACCAAGATCCGCGTGGCGGTGAGAGTGGCGCTGTGGCGGCCGGCGCGCCAGCTCCAGCAGGTCCCGGACCAGTGTCCAAAAGTGTCGGTCTCAACTCGAAGTATATCAATGCAGTGCTCAGTCTTTTGCTGTAACCTGTTTACATTCTAGCTCCGAGAGTGTAGGGATATAAACTACAATGATCAATGCAACCATTTTGCGCTTAAGCTGTGGTTGTTGCGGCATTTGACCTTTAAAGTCTCGGATGTAATATTCTCCGTTTGGCATGGTGCTTTGCCACACTGCCGCAATAGGTCCAGCTCCCAAACTACTGCCTTCACGTGCCGCGAGATGTTTTTGGCTGGCAAGAGTCTTAAGCGATATATTCGCATTGCACTTTAACCGTGGCAATCGTCCATAGTTCGGCAACAATTTATAACCACCCCCTGTTTTATTTAAATTTTGGACCGGTCGCCGGCGCATTTTTTGCTAGATTCCGATCGAGCATATTGCTAGGGTTTTTTAGAGGCAAAAATTGATATTCAGACATTTTAGGCGCACTAAATGGAAGCCCGGTGTGAACAGTTAACTTCATCAAACGGGCGACCATGGTTGCATGCTTGGCTAATTTGCATTATAAAACATACGCAGAAATGTGTTAGAAGCATTCGTAGATTCACAATGATTCAGTTCGTATTTGGTTTTATAGTCTAGAATAGTGTGCAAAACAATCTGTAACTGATCTCTCTTTAAAGAAAATGTGGTGGAAATCCACATGGGACTCTTGAGGAGAATTTTTTGCCGGGGGGGGAGGGGGAGCGGGTATCTAATCCTCACCATAAGTGTTGCTGGGTACATCCTTGGGCGGTTTAATCGTTATGTACGATCTGGGTGACCGGTAAATGGCCATCCACAGTGGGAGTAATTCTGCACCAGAAGTTGTTGTCTTTTGCTGCTCAGACTGGAGCACTTGCGGAAAATGGGTGACTAAATGGTCATTGTGAACCGTTTTAGCCGTCCAAAGATGGGTCAATGGGTGTTTATAGCAGAGGAAGTTTGCATGTCATAATCTAGTATTATTGTCGTCCAGTCAGAGTGTTGATTTCAACCCTATTTACATGGAAAGGACGACCATGGATTTCTAGGATTTCATTGCACATGTCTCTGATGACCCCAGCTCCTTTGTTAATAACGCAGCGACCCGGTGGGCTCCTTTTCAGCCAGCAGCAGACATGAGCTTTATTTTCTATCCCGGCAGAACATATTTTCACTCCGAATCGCAGCGCGTTGGGGTGATTTTGACGCACTTCACACGTTTACGATGTAACCGGATCATGATCTCTAGAAACGCGCTGCTTAAGTTCTGAATTGATTTGGATAATGAACTCTGTAGACAACTATGTGGGATATAAACCATCCTATGGGACGCTGAGGACAAAAAACTGAGGTTGACCACTGTCAAGTATGAAGTCAGCAAGAAATGTGGAGCGCCACTTGCTACACGCATGTAGCGGCTTCGTAACAATAACAACCTTTTCTGCCGTTTGCATTTCTATTTGAATCGAACCATCGACGATCGCATCCGATATAGTCGGTTTATCTCCGACGTGCGTGAATTTTTCGCCGATATCCCCCAGTAGACCTCCAAGTATATGTCCATTTTTCCTAGAGATCTCATCAAGTAGTGTACTGATATCGTGGTAGACTCTAACTCCACGCAAAGTCAAGCTCCAGTGTGCATTGTAGCAGTGTTGCTGCGTTATCATGATCTAGTGACGCACGGTAACCGGACCTTCCTCGCGGCAGCAAATCAGCCCGGGCATGGTGAGCACTGAGTTTGCATTCCGCATGCACGGCGGTGACGCGGTCAAGGGTGAGCGCTCCATGAAACTGGGCATCGACGCCAGCAACATCGCCAACGCCGTCATCTACATCTTGTCCACGCCGCAGGACATGCAGGTGGGCTGCCATGGCAGAGCGCGCTCGCCCGCGCCCATGGCGTCAGCCCCAGCGGCACTGCCCTGAGCTCCGTGTAAGGTCATGTGTGTGTCTCTGCTATCTGACCCTACGGCACTGCTCTGAGCTTCGTGTAAGGTTGTGTGTGTCGCTCAGCTATCTGACCCTACGGCACTGCCCTGAGCTCCGTGTAAGGTCGTGTGTGTCAATGAGGTACCTGACCCAGCGGCACTGTTCTGAGCTCCGTGTAAGCTTATGCGTGTCGCTCAGCTATCTGATAGCGTGTGGGCGGCTCGTGCAGGGAGGATCACGTTTCGCCGAGCTCCATGACCAACATTATGACTGCCTGGCGTACTTCATCGGGGCCTGCTGCACCATACTCGTTATGCGTGTTCGTTTTCGTAGAAGCTCCTCGCTCGCCTTGCGCCACATAACACATTTGTTCAGCGGGAACGCGGCGCTTGCTGCTGGGTACCCATTTACGGAACGCCAGTGAGAACAGCTCTGTTAAAACCCAGGGGTTGCATAAGCACCCGGGGCCGTGGTGTGACCGGTGCACGAATCCGGGCCCTCCGTGAGCTCCAACAGCACGCCCCTATCACACCAAATACCTTACCAAAACTCACCTCTTTCAGGTTCATGATATTCTACTGCGGCCCACGGCACAGACGACATAACCGCCGGTGCTCGGTACCGTCTTCACTGTCGATGACAGTATGATAGGGAGATCTACCCCAGCGATACTTAGGCGAGCTCTGACACACGCTATTTCTTCCGCTTGTAGCTGCTGAAGCCATATGAAGTCAGGTTTGGTGACTGAACTGAATTTAGGATCACGAATTGGTAGTTGTCTAATATTTGCAAGAATGCTCTGCCACATTATGCTACCGGCTTTCAGAAGCGCAACTAAAGAAATAAACCAATTAGCACGGCTCTGATGCATTATTGCACCGGTGTGTGGGGCGAGCAGGATAGGTAGTTCAAGTATTCTGTGGTGCGTAGCAAGATAAAAGTGAGAGGACTGTGGGAGGACGCGTTGCAATACAACGCAGACGTGCTGCAATCTTGGGCGAAGCTCAGTGCTGTAGGATCGCACTAAGCTGGAAAGACTCGGGGCACCCCAGTACTCAGCATAGTACGGGGCACCCCAGTACTCAACATTACAGCACAGTACTCAACAACTTGACTGAGGGTCCTCCCAATTTTTACGTCATACTCCCAAGCAAAACCGAGCAGCTTAGGAAATGGTTTTTCGATGTCTCATGCAAGTGACAACCAAGAGCGCCCGACCCAAATCCCAGGGTACACCGCGTCTCGGAGCTAGTATGTTCCTGGTTCCTAATGATTTCTCTTGTTCCCATTGTTTACCTTACGGAAACAGTACCTGGGATTCTGGCTCCCGCTGGTTCCGTTGCAGACGCCACTCCTGGCTCCTGGGTCCTTTTGCTTCTTTTGCAAGATTCGTGATTCTCGCAAATTCCTGTGAAAGTACCAAAGGCTGGTTCCTGGTTCCCATCGCGTCACTCAAATGCGGCGTTTCCAGCTTAGATGTGTCGTCCTGAATAAGACATCACATTTGAACTCAGTGTGGCGTACCTAGAGCGCTTCATGCTACATACACAAACTTGTATATGATATTTTTGTCCTCCAAAGTAACGTCTTTAAAGGAACACGAATATTGTGGAGTGAAATCACGACAACGGCATAACTGTATCTAATTGGACTGCAGAGGTTCGAACCACGCGCGTTTCAAAGTACGGGCTGCGGGCCATCGATTCGTACTGTAAAGTGCTTGGTCGCAACCACATTTTGTTTGCTCTGGCTCCATGAGGGTGTATTGTCGGCGCGCCCTAAAGCCTAAATCCGGCTGATGCATTACGAAAGCTCGTTCGCGAGGCCTTTCCGGACAGTGACAGTGACATTGTGCTTTCCAATTAGCTGTTTCCTGACCGCTTTGTCGGAAGACTGTTGGATGGACATTGCGTCGGAAGGCCTGACCACGTTTGTGATCAGGCCTTCATGAGTGACGTCAGTGTCAACGAATGTTTGTGATTGGCACAGCGGACGGCAAGGGCCAATTAGGGAGAAGCGCATTGGTTGAAGTCTGGACCAGTGCGTCACTACAGACCATGTGGTACTACGTACCCCAAAGCCAAAGTGCGCTCCGAAAAAAATACACTGTGGTAAATGCAAGTAGTAGAGAAATCAAAGCCATGGCATAACGTTTGTGAATTCGCGGGATAATAGCCTCATTTTTCCATATCTTGTTCACTTAACAGTGTTTCAAGCTTTCGTAGCATTGATGACACAAGGGTTTGGCTAATTAGTGTATTGCAAATGATACAAAACACACCTGTTGCAAAAACAAATCTGGTTGAACGTATTACTTTCTTAGGGATGAGCAGGAACTTCAATGAGATTGCAACCGCAGCAGGGGCTACTTCAAATCGAAATTCTGAGCTATTGAGAATGAGTTCGAGAGCACTGGTGTCACAATAAAATCGTACGCGTTTGATCTCACAATAAGTGGTAGCTACACAAAGGTGGTATACCTTGAAAGTTCACGACATACCTCAAACACAACGCAGTGGCCTCTGCCCTTTTTCGTACGCCTACGAATGTTTTTTCAACGACCTGCTATTTTGATTTAGTCATTGACGTTTTCCAAAACCTTTCGAAGTCCTGTCCAATATGGCAACAAAATGTCTTACCGTTGCTTTACCCAGATAGGTACCCCAGACGAACGTAAGCTTTTTGCCTGCAGCCTTATAGACGCTCTATGCATCAAACGCCCTGTTTCGTTTCATAGTTGATGCGTTGGCGTGTTGTCAAATAGGTTTCAAGTTCAAACCTATTTGATAGGTTCTAACATGGTCAAACTTCTGTTCAAAATACACGCTCTCATAGGTTCAAATTTTGGACCGATGACAAGCCAAAATGTGAGCCAGGCATTGGTAGGACAATGAAGCACATCGAAAGCTCAAGTTTAACGCTTATAAAGTATACCACCAGTCTGATTCGAGCACCGAGATGTTTCATTTATTTTAGGTCGCCTCGCTGCCATGATTTTTTTGCAAGCAGGCCCAACCTAGACTTAGCCTCCGGCTAGTTCTCCCACATTGAGGTTGGATTTAGCCACCTATATGAATGAAGTCCTGCCAGTAAAATGCTGTTATTTTAGTAGAATGTCCAGATCAGAATGAGTACTGCGGCAACGTTGAGTGCTACTGTGGTCACACAAGTATTGACTCATAATAGTGATACCTCCTAGCCATCACACTATCTATTTGTTTTCTTGAAATCTAGCACGTCAAGCAAGCTCGTTGGATACTGATCGGCGGCAGATGATGTTGCATACTGCTCAATCTGCGTTGGATACTGATCAGGCGGCAGATGATGTTGCATACTGCTCAATCTTCGTCGGATACTGATCGGGCGGCAGATGATGTTGCATACTGCTCAACCTGCGCTGCAGTGGCGGTTTGGGCCTCGCAAACCAGTTGATGGTCAGTTGGCTCTATGGGTGCTACAGCTGCCTCAGCTAGATTTTCGCATTCTTCACAGGATTTCCTCGTGGAGATACTTATAACCTGCCACGTTACTCATCCGCGGCTGAGACGAGCGGCGGGATTGCGTACAAATTTGTTTGCGTTCCCTTTTCGTCGTAACACGCATGTGCCCAACCACAAGTCGCCCTCGACGTTCGTGCAGAGGACAGCACAAGGTCAGATATGTCAGGTATAGAGGGCGTCGTTGCAACTCGGGTTTACCGAGCTTGACCGGGCTACGGGATGACATGGTACACTCTGTGATCAGCAAGTCGCACGCAGACCTTAGTCGCAAACAGGGCTGAGAGGAGGGCGTGTGGTAGATGAAGGTCTAGAAAGCAAGTAAGAATCGCACGCCGAGCCGAAGGACGGTTACGGCTTTAGGTATTTCCTCTCATGCACGGATGCGTTCACGAGGTCCTCGTGAGCATCATCCATTGGTGACCAACAGACGGAGACGATCGTAGAAGGACTAACAAACCACGTCAATAGTACCTTTGGACTTCTGAAGCGCGCTTACAAGGGCCTCGGGCAGTATCTGAGCGGAAATGCTGTGGTCGCCGGGAGACTACAACAGCGTACCACCCACAGAGGACTGCATATTCTGAGCGTGAATATCGCTTCCTGAAGGACGTGGTGGTCACACTGAGGGCAATACATCGATGACGCTGGTCCCCGTCCGCCGTAGTGTTGGCCTGGAACATCAACGTCATCAGATCCACCGGACCTCTCCACTCGTGCATGTGTGTTCGAAGTCATGTATATATATATGATGACATAACAGCGTCTTATGGATAGGTCTGCGGTACACCTGGGAGTTAAGAGGAAGTTTTGGTAGCCTTTAAACACAAAAAGTTACCATGGACCTTTGCGAGTGGGACCCTGAGCTTTGATAGCACTGTATCACTGCCACCACACGACACCCAAAAATCTGGCCTAGTTTGCTGCTCCTATTTGTTTGCTACGGCCCATTGGTGTATACTATTACATGCAAGCTGCCTGCCTTGCGCGTAAGTGCAACTTACATGCTATCTTGTTATCTCCATATCGTGGTGCACGAATAACAGGACCTTGGATTGGGTGCTCTTGCCGGTGTTCTCATGTGATAAAGGGAGTGTCCCGCCTTTGAAGCACGTTAAAAAAATATACGCTAGTGAAACATGAGGACGAGTTGCGCCTTATAATATTGCTGAGTAGTGCCACTGCAGTACCGTCAAGACATAACGAGGATATCAAATTTGATTACGTCCAAGTAACGCTGCAAACGCATTGCAACAGTACTGCGCTTCTTTCCGACAGCCGCGATCACCGTGACCATGGTAAACGCCGTGCATACCACTTTTGTTGCCAATAAAAATTTGCAAACGCTTGTGATTGGCTCAGACACAAAGACCCTGCTATCGAAAAGTTGGTTGGTTGAAATTTGAACCAGTGAACCAGTGTTCGCATATGTTTTGGTTTAAACAGGGTGTTTCAGGCTTTCGCAGCATGCAGTATAATAGCATTCTAACAGTGTACTGCAAGCATACACGTTGGAAAAATAAGGCAAATGAAATATAGCACTTTCGTGGCGTTGGGAAGGGCCAAATGATATCCCCCGCAGTGTCGACCACTTCAAATCAAAATTCCGAGATATTCCAAAGTGCTTTGAGAAAACTAGGGGCGCAGCCAGGATTGGGGATGACGGAGGGGGGGAGGGGTGGCGAACCAGGATTTACGGTGGGGGAATGTTAGGGTGCGAGCAACAATCACAGCTGCTTTATGGAGGGATCGATACGAGGTATTACAAAAAGGGCGAGCAATTGTTCGCACTGTTGCCCTCACCTGGTGGGTTAGTTCTTCGCAACGTTTCGCCAGTTACTTTTCCGGCCGTTGTCCAGCGTTGCGCAGTTATGAGAATGACGTTTGACTTTCAGTTATGGTGGTGTAACGCCTCAGATTCTCTTCTTGGTTGCTGGGCTTCTAGCCAGGGTCTTCTGAATGAGTGTTCAGTGCTCTACCAATTGTGCTATCCGGGGAGGACAAGTAGAGGACAAGTCACTTCCGGTTAAGTCATAAGAGTAATCTAGTTAACCCAGTTGTAAGAGTAGTAGTCCCAGCAATGGCAAGGAAAGAACTTGGGCTGTGACGCGTGCATGAAGTAAGAACAACCAACCATTCCTTACCAGTACTCCATAACACCTGGCGGCGGTACCAATGTTAGCTGTTGGAAACCCTGTGTAAATACTAATACAACAGGGGACGACATTAGTCCTGATTTTGTTAAAAACTGTCGTGAGAGAAGGCTGAGGTGCGTGCTGACGAGGGGGGGGGGGGGGAGGCTAATGCCCACAGGGATGGCTCTGGCCGCGCAAGTACAGAAAAGCTCATCCCGAGCAGGAGTAC